GTACGTAAAAGCTCGTCAAAGACGAAATCGCACAATGTCATTGCAGTGAATGACGACATTTTCCACACTCGTCTTTTCTCCGTCAAATGTCGGGGAAATAATTGTGCCGCGCGCGGAAAATAATATCGCGTCGCAAATGGCTTCGAGGATAAAGACGCGCGATCGCGCGGCAGCGGAAACTATCGTACCTCGGAGCGATCGTTTCGCACGCACGAACGGGTAATTGCTTCGTGGTTAAATAAAAATACAATTCTGCCGCAGCGCGACGTTCACGATCCCGCGCGGTAATATCGATGCCATTGCGTAACATTATGTTAATCGCACGAATTATAACGACGATTGTCTCCTCGCCGATGTCGCGATCGTAACTCGCTATTTTTGTCTCGCTCGAGCGCACGATAACGCGCGGTTATCTGATAAAGAGACTTTGGGAGTCTTTTATGAACGTTTATGATTGTAAACATGGGATATTATTTCGTTCAATTATCATAAATTTTCATAATATCTCGCGCGCGCGACCTTTCGCAAGATCGCGGCCGGTCTGCGCCATCATGCGCCTATGTCTCGTGAGTGAGAACTGATTTAAATCTTTTTTACATCAATTTCCCGGCGTAATTCCCGCAATAAGTAAGGGGCGAATGCTCATAGGCTAAAGATTAATGCAATAATTTGTATGTAAATGTCATTCTCGCGCGCGTTCAGCTTTTCAGCTCTGGTTCGTTACCGTTCGCGACCGGTTTACTTCAAAGGTCAAGACTTGAAGATGTATGCTGCCCTACGTATACACGAGAAGCGCGCGCGCGCGATTCCCTACGACGGGAGGGGAAACCCCGTAATCGAAGCGCCGGGGAATACCTCGAGTGAAATACGAGGAGCGTGCAGGCATCGAGCCAGAGGTTCATTTTCAATATTATGTAAAACATCTCGGCCGCGGTGCGGAGGGTATGGAAGGACTCGCGGTTAAATGGAGGAAAGGGGTAGCTGCATGTCACAATGGGACAATGCATGTCACTGGCAATATCACTCCGGAAATGCCTCGAGTCCTTGCGAGAGGAGAAGTCGCGATGCGCGCGAGAGGAGGATCGAATTGATTGCGAAAAGGGAGCGAGAAGGGGCTTGTGAGGAGGACAGAGAGAGAGAGAGAGAGAGAGAGAGAGAGGAGAGGGGGGGGAGGGAGGGAGGAACCGCCAAGGGTTTCTTTTACACAGTCGCGCGGTTTTACCGACGTGAATTCTCCTCGGGGAGATTGCTTGTTTAGATAAGAATCCTGTACACCTCGTCACACAAGATTGTAGCGAAAGATGCATACTCTCTCTCCGCTAGCACAAGGTAAATAACGCAATATATATTTACCTTTTCTCCGTCGCAGAAGCGATAAAATCGAAGAGGACGTTTTATTTGCACATGGAATTAGCCGTGAACATACGTTTACGTCCGCAGCTCTATGCAGATAGGGCGATGCGAAATTTGCGACGCATCAACGACGTCGTCTTGTAATTTACACGGAGCACGTAACACTCGCGCGCTCCGACGCGCGGTATATATACAGCCCAAACGACTAAATTATATTAGGCGGTATGTGAGAGAATCATTTTATATTTATGCTACACGAGAATATTTTTATATTTATAGTCGTATTTATGGCGCACGACATTATCGTGCGGCGCGGCTGTGTGTGACGAAAACACGATACATTCGTACGATGAAACTCATTGCCATAACGAAATGTTGTAATATACGTACAACATGTATGCGTTTGCGCGCAGTTAATATCAAACTTGTTTGAATTTTCAAAGAAATTTGCGTTTCCCGATTAGTGCGGAACATTGGGAATATATATGTGTGTGTGTGTGTGTGTGTGTGTGTGTCTTAAGTGAGCGACAACTCGAGGAATTATTCCTGCGCGTCTTGCGATACTTCTAAGTGCTGTCGCATTTTCTCCTACATTTCGCCGTGAAACGTGAAATAACGTATCTCGAATACTGCGGTTGCGAGATAAATCCCGTCAGCTGTTTAAATGCGATTCCGCACATCTCGTCCCCTCAGGGGGACTGGCTCGGATTAAATCCTGCGGAAAGACCGGGGAACTCTTTGAATGGGGAATTAGTTCTTGCCAAATTGGGCCGCTTGCGTTCCTATGGAGTAAATCAATTGCTTGGAAAAACACAAGGAGCGTGGAAATGAGTACAAAGTGTTTCAGAGATACACACGTATGTGCGTGCGTGCGTGCGTGCGTGTCAATTTCACAATACTCAATCATCCAGCGCGCCTGTGGGTATTTTTAATTATTGCAAATACACTGAACGGGGCCGCGTGAAAACGCGCATGTTTGCTGGCACGGGATAAATTTCACGAAATTAGACACTGCGGCGACCACGACAAAGAGGGAGGACAAGGTCGACGGTCGTTAATGTAATTGGATAATTTCGGAAGCATAGATTATCCCGACGACTCGAAAGTCGTCTAGTTTTCTCATCGTGATAAAAAATCGCTGCCACACTGGCGACGCGCGAAATTGCTTTTTTTCTCCATTGCAGAATAAAAAATTCTCAACCAATCTAATTGAATAAACAACGCGTTGCACGCGGTGCGAATAATATCGCGCCAATTAAAGCGCATGTAACGTCAGTTTCGTTTAATCGTTAAAAATGAATCACGACGATTCTCTTAGGCGATGAAGCTAGAACGCAAGTGTTAACTTTATTGGCACACGATAGAAAACTGAGACGCGTAATGCGATTGGAAAACATGTATTGGATTTCTAACGTCGATATCATCTCGGTGGTAACTTTTATGGTATTGCGACGGCCGACTTCTTGTGGCAAAAATGAATTTATCTTATCTCTCTCATCTTATGCTCACGCAGCACATCTTCGAGGCAGTGTGTCTCTTTTATGATATAACGATAAATCTTATTTATTGGCTTGCGTACGATCTTCTCGTTTCAATAAAACTAATGCGCGATATGGAGGAGAAGATTCTATAAAAGTGCGAAAATTCGCCAAAAGCTCGACGTATTATTGAGAAATTAATATCGTTTACTTCATTGATCGAGAATTCACTAAATTTTAATTATAGAAAGAATCCGATCCGCGACATCCGATAGTCTGAGAGAAACCGTCTCATTAAGAGAAATAACTAACATACGAGCAGCATCTCAGGAATACCTCGTGCGCGAGAAATACCGCCAAGAGTTTCGCGAAACGCTAACATTCGTCACAACTCGAACAATATCACGATATTCCTCGTGTATTCTTGAAGGGCGACTTTGTGTCATCGCGATAGCCGATAGCGATCGAGGAGACCGTCCGGGTTCATTCAATTTCCACTTCTTTCCGCGTTGCTCGCCGACGTTCACGTGGAAAGTTCGTGCGATGAAATCACACCCGGCAAGTTCGTTCACGGTAAGCGCGGCAGGGAGAGTGCGTGGTAATAGGCATTAACGCGATAACTTCTCTCTAGGGAAGACCTTCGTGCGCCAATTTATATAATAAAAAATATGTATGCCGGTCACAAGTCGCGGCTTCTAATCTGACGTCTCCTCTGCAGCGCTAGCTGTCCGTTTGGCGTTTACCCCTTTCTCTTCCCTCTCAACCATCCCTCTTTCTTTTCATCCTCCCCTCTCTCTCTCTCTCTCTCTCTCTCGCTCGCTCTCTTCCTCTTCCTCTTCCTCTTCCTCTTCCTCTTCCTCCCTTCTCTCTTTCTCGTCGCTCGCTACTGTCTCTCGGTGTCGCAACCTAACGACCCTTACGGATCGCGCTTCGTATACTCGATATGTAACTCGACTTCAGCTGTCTACTTGAACGGTAATCGAATACGACAGGTCGCGCGGCCGATCCATCCATGACGCGTACGCAAGAAGAAAAAATTGCACTCTCGCGCCGCAAAAAAAGAAAGAAAAAGAATTCCGGCAATTCCGAGACAAGCGTGGGGAGCGTCGCGTCGATTCAAGCCGACTTGTGTGTGTCGCAAATTGATTTTCCCTCGTTCGCCGAGCGGACGGCAATGAACGCCAAGCGCCAAGCGTGATTCTTTTTTCGCGCGGACCATTTTCGGCCAATTTTCAAGCCTGCTGAGACGAGCCGAGGTTAGAGATCCCTGCTTCCTGCTTTCTACTTAAGTCCCGAAGGGTGTACTTGACTTTTTTCCCCTGTGATAATAAAGTCCGCAAACTCGATGGAATTTGCTGAGGTTCGAAGCGCTATATATCTTTTCGACCTTTAAATGCAGAGGATGTTCCGTTCCCTCCCCTCCGCGTTATCGTTATAAATGCCGACACAATTATGCGCTGGCTCTCCGTACGCGCTCTATACCATTTACCGTGAGATCGAGAGAGCGAGAGCGGGATATGCGCCACACGAGGTTTCCATAGTACTACGTATATGTGTCGTCGCGTCGCGTCGCGTCCATAAAATTTTATTCGTACGCTGTTGTACAGAACCGTCGATCGCGCGCTGGTCCCTCCTCTCCCGGGTCTTCCGGGACGAAGACGGCCGTGCTTAAACCGTGCTTAAACCTCGGGAAGTATCTAAATCATAAACCGCGATAAGATATCGGTTGCGCGAATCGCGAGTAAATTGTGAAATTACAGTGCCGTGTGTCCCCCCGCCGCGGCCGCCCGCGACGACGGATACCGATCGCGTTCGCACGTACACACCGCCATTCGTGTCAAGGACACGCGAGCTCGAGTTGGGCAGATATCCCGAAGCGTGTGCGCGCGCGGAGTACGCAGGACTCCGCGGGGTGGAAAGAGCGAAGTCGACGATGTGTGACACCGGGAACCTGGCACGGGCCTACCTTTTCGTGTACGAAGCTATTAAAAGTCGACAATTGGGACTGCGGCGCTTCTCTTTCGCGTTAGCAGCTCGCAAGCCGGCCGCCACGTATATAGCATTGTTGGCGGTGGACTTTACAACCGTCCTTTATCTCGGGGCTACTTAATCTTGCGGAACAATAAAGGCGATCTGTCATTCGGATTCGTCGACGCTCTAGCTACATTG